TCTGTGGAGGCCTCACAGATGGCTGTAAAAGCCAAAGAACATGCACTTCGCAGTTTTCACCGGTTGTATGATTGTGAATTTTGTGTGAATTTCCCTAAATCATGGGATAATGTCCTTATCCTTAATATTTAATATGATTTTACATGTGAAATTATCAGAATCAATCACAGTTGTATCAAGGCAGTGAAAATGTATTTAGGAATTATCCATGGTAAAATTGTGTTTCTTTCCCATTCTCCTGTTTTATTTTTTTCCTAGTAAAACACTCTGAAAGTACCTTATTAATAACTTTAGAAATACTTGTTCCCCTCACTATCTGAAAGTAGAGAATTACTGTAAAATCTTCCCTAAGTTGAAATGTTGTAAAGTGAAGAAGCAGTTTCCTTAGGACACATCTTGTTAATGGATGCCCAAAATAAATCCAGATAAAGCACAGATGCCCAGACACAAGTCAAAGCTATGGTGGCTGGACGCTGAGATGCTGAGTGTAGTTCCTGGGGAAGGAGATGAGTGGTGCTGCTGTTACTGCTTGAGATGCCCACTGTCTCTCTCTGTTAAGGTAATGCTTTATAAAAGCATTTCAAAAGAAATGCTAAACACTATTTTCAAATTTCAGCTTTTATCATAAAAGCAAAAATCCTGTTGGGATTTCTTTCAGTTAGTGAAAACAGGTACTAATACAGGTCTTTCATAAAACCAAGTGGTGCAAAGCAAAACTTTCAAAAGCAGGGAGTACCTGTATAGGCCTCCCCAACTAGAATGTTGTGTTTTTGAAGGCTTGTTCTCTCCTTTATGTCCACCTCCCAAAATAGTGCATGGTGGTCATTTAATAAACTATTGTTAAATGAACCAATTTTCAAGAAAATACAGTGTGTGCAAACTAAAAATTATACACTTATAAAAGTGTGATGTGTTGGAAAGGAGCAAAAATTCCCAAGGACAGAACTGTCTAGGTTGATATGAAACAATCTCTGAAAAGGTTGCATTTTTTTGTTATCAGAGTGCTCTAGAAAGAGGACATTATTTTATGGCAGAAATACACATCTCTAACATTCTATATGTGTTTCTTTTTTTATTCTTCTAGAAATGAAACCAAGGTGGAATTTCTCAAAAAAAAAAAAAAACTATTCTAAAATTCAGTTTAGTTTCCTTTCAAAATAGATCCCAGGGTGTTTTTTCCTTACCCTAGCCATCCTTTTTGTCATGGAATGTTGTTGTTCAGTCATTCAGTCGTATCCAGCTCTTTGCAGCATGTCAGACTTTATCCTTCACTATCTCCCTGAGTTTGCTCAAACTCATGTCCATTGAGTTGGTGATGCCGTCCAACCATCTCATCTTCTGCTCCTCCTCCTTCTCGTGCCCTCAATCTTTCCCAGCATCAGGGTCTTTTCTAATAAGTCAACTCTTCACATCAGGTGGCCAAAGTATTGGAGCTTCAGTTTCAGCATCAGTCCTTCTAATGCATATTCAGGACTGATTTCCTTTAGGATGGACTGGTTTGATCTCCTTGCAGTCCAAGGCACTCTCAAGAGTCTTCTCCAGCACCACAGTTCAAAAGCAAACTGTGTTATGGAATAGATAATTCTTATTTGATGAATTCCAGAGCTTTTCAAAGAGGGCCTAGCAATATGGAATTTAAGTGAAAGATGTCAGACTTTCTAAATTCATTTAAGGGGAAAAAGAAAGGAAAGAAAAGAAAAAAAAAATGTATTCTGATCTATACTCTATTTGGTTGCTTTTAATCGCTGGACTGGCTCCACTTACATTTTCTACAAGGAATGTTGACCACCACTAGGGAGGCTCTGGAAAGGGCCTGGGTTCCCACTTAATTTCTGCAGCTATCAAAATACTGCTAATTATCAATCAGTCTCAAAATACGCAAAGGTCTACAATGTTTTGATAAAATAATAGTAGTGGTACTAGTAGTCATAGTAATAGCTTTAGTGGGTTTGAGACTTAGATCAGTGTGGCCTATTATTTTCTTAAGTGTGTTATTTTAGCCTTTATACCAATTCTGGTTGACTTTCTGGTGGAGTAATGGTATCCCAGTGGCACAGGAGCGCAGCTGATTTTGTTTGCCAGTCACAGTGTGTGGTTTTAGCAAAGAGCTAAATATGGCACTTGGTTGAATCAACAGTCTGGGGAGAGTGTGCTGTGTCATTTGTCTTCCTTTTAGGTGACACTGATGGCATTCAGTGGACCCCTGTCAGGATGCTCTGGGTGGGAGAAGCAGTGGCAGGATGGCAAGTCTCCATTTTAACACATTCCAGATGCAAAAACTCAGGTCTCACCGCATGCTGTTCCAGGGTAATGTTCCATGTGGCTTAGTTTTATTGAGACTTCTGATTTGAAATCCAAAGCAATACTGAGTTGTGTAATTGAAATAAGGTTGCCAATGATACCTGTTTGTATTTCCTGATCTTTGAGAAAAGGACTTTGTTTTGGAATAGTTGTGTCTGCTTTGTTTCTATTTAAGTTTTTAAGGATTTGAAACAAGTAAAACAGTCATAATAAAGGCATATGGTCAGAGTATTTAAATATAAAAGGCAAAACCTTTTTTGTAGTAACTTCATAGAAATAAATTGCTCTTCGGTGACATGTTATCACTTTTAAAAGTGTCAGTTCCTGAATATTTGAAGTTCTAATGAGACCCTATTGTCTCATTCTTTGCCATAAATCCAATAATGGAAAAGAAAAGGATGAAAAATAGTCATTCTTTTTGTACTCCTGTAATTTGACAATATTGCGATTAAAAAACTGATGCTTTGCCAAACTTCGGGAAAGCCGTAAGTCACAAGGATTTAGTCGCTGAGGTCTGCTCTGCAGTAAATCAAGGACAGGTGCAAATGATGACCATCACCTGCTATGTGTAATCTCTAAGTATTTCTGGAACTTTTTTTTTTTTTTCTGTATGCAAGCCCAACAGTTACAATGGGGAAAGAGAACAGGGCGGCCCCAATTTTTATTTATGGATTTTCTGAAGTAGCACAAGAAGAAATGGACTTATCCTTAGAAGGGCATATATTGGTCAGAAAGAAAAAAGCTGAGACTCATTTCTCCAGGAAACTTACTTAAACACCAAGCAGGCCTTCTGTGTAGCTTGACTGGGCAGCTGCCCTTCAGGCTGCAGGAAATTCTGGAAACATTCCTCCTTTCTTTGCAAATCTTACCTCCTACAGCAGTGCTACCCACAATGTCCATAACTCTGCTGGGTGGTCCGTTAGCAGGGAAGAGTGGGGGGAGAGGCTTCTGCCTGAGTTTGAATCCTGACTTCACACCTACAAACTCAAGGGTGACCAGTTATTAAGCCTCTCAAAGCCTCAGATTCCTCATTTGTAAAAGGAGGGTAACAGTGGTATCTATCTCACATGATGGTGGTGACTGCACAAGATAATCCCTTAGTAGAGTTCCTGGCACATGCTAAGAGTTCTGTAAATCTAAACTGCTCTTATTAAGATGTTTATTATTATTGTTACAGCTTAAAGTATTAGTCATGCAGTCGTGTCTGACTCTTTGTGACCTCATGGACTGAAGCCCGCCAGGCTCCTCTGTCCATGGGATTCTCCAGGCGAGAATATTGAAGTGGGCTGCCATTCCCTTCACCAGGATTACAGTTTAGAGAAAGAAATTAAAAGGCAAATACCCGAGGAGTATAAACACATTGATGTCACTGTTAAAGGGAGGATCCTGGATGCTTAAAGTGTGAGAAAATCAGAAAAGGGGGAAAAGTTCAAAGTAAGGATGGGGCAAGAGGGGACAGACCTTCATGGGCCTTCACTTGCCTCACTGATTTGCTTACTCATCACCCTTTTTCATTTTTACAATGCCCTTTCTTGTGTTTGACTCATCCTACCCCATCTAATTTGGGACAACATCTGGAACATATTAGACCTCCAGAAATGTTTGATGAGTGACTGATCTTTAACTTTTTAAAGTCAAAAACCTGATTTCTGCTCCTGTTTCGTAGAAAAGCTAGTACTGCCTGCTAGACTGTATAATAAGTGGTTACCAAATGCTTCATAGAACGTTGGTTAAAGCAGATAGCTACGCTTAAGATGAAATGTCCTCATCTTCAAGGATAGTATGGATACCCAGCCACATGTGAGAAACCCTGGCATAATTCTTGAGCAGTCTTTTTTGCTATTTAAGTAGTGCTTGATTTACTCCCCTACCCAGCCCCACGTGATGGCCGGCGAAGTCATTGTAAGTCTCATTGTAAGTTCATACAATTTGAACTTCATCCCCTTGAAAATTATTGAGATAGGTGAAAGGTTTGTACTTTTACTTTATTTGCCTAAAATTCCACCCAGGAAAACTATCTCAGATGTAAATGTCATCTAGTACTAAGCTGTTTGTTCCTGTCTTCCCTACCCTGGATTGTCTGCCGTCCCCTGGACTTCATCCTGCCTTTAGTGAAGTGCTGTGGTGTGAGTTTTTCCCCCTTGGCTAGGTTTTATTTGCAACTGTGTGTGTTTTTATATGATTGCTTACACTGTGTGGATATAAATTACTTTTTGGAATAATCAGTGAAAGTAATGATCTTTTTAAAAAGAACTCATACAAATACAGATTTGTAGTTCCATAAATTTTGTGAATACCCCCAAAGATACCTGTTTATTCTTATTTTGATAATTGAAAATATAATAGATGGTGTGATAAGACTAGCTTCATGAAGTCCTTTTATAAGTACTGTAATAAAATGGTTAATTTGTCCATACATACCCTCCAATTATCTCCTCAATTCCTGGCAACAGCCACAACCCCATCTTTCATTTTTATTGCCTACCAGTTAATTGCACTAATAGGTTTTGCTTTTCATTTCTGCATGACTTTCATTAGAAAAAGTGGCAAGTGCTAACTCTTGCTGCTTTTTAGTTAGTACATATTTCAGACTTTTTAATCAGAGATGAGCAAAGCAAATGGATTTTTTAAAATTTCATGTGAATATGCTTGCTAGCCTCAAAATTCCAGATGACTACTTCTGACTTTTACTCTTTTAGAAAAGAAGAGGCTTATTTGGGACCAATAAATTCTGCCAGGTAAGGAATATTGGTAGCTAGAGCTATGTGGTAGTTTGTTGTGTTTTTTATTTTTTTTTCTCTAGAAAAGCTTTTTTTAGTACTATTTACCAGTGAATCAATCTTCTCAATTCACAGACAGGTTTCTTGGGCAATGTGAACTAACATGAGCTAATTTAATGAGTATTTAACAAGGCATTTATTCATTTAAAAGTGATGTAAAAATTTTAATAAAGATGTTTGAAAACATTTGTGCTTTTTTAACAATCAAATGTGTATGAAATCCAATTGAATCTTTAAAAATAAGAGTTTGTTGTTTAATTGCAGTACCTTAAATAATTTTCCTGAGTATTCTACATAAGGAATGATTATGATATATAGTATTGACTATACTAAATTGAATCATTTTCATTTATCACATTTTATGATTTATGAGAATGTTTTTATTCAGCCTGATTGTTTTATTCCTCTTGAAAATTGGTGATTGAATAAAAGACTTGCCATTGATTTAGTTATACATATCTCTTTATGAAATATGAAATATCTCTGGTGGCTAAGACAGTTAAGAATCCACCTGCCATGCGGGAGACGTGGGTTTGATCCCTGGGTTGGGAAGATCCCCTGGAGGAGGGCGTGGAAAACCACTCTAGTATTCTTGCCTGGGGAATCCCCAAGGACAGAGGAGCCTGCTGGGCTACAGTCCATGGGGTCACAATGAGTCGAACATGACTGGGACTAAGGACAAATCATTATGATTAGAGAGAAATGAATTTGCATTAGGGGAGGAAAACATTTAAGTTGATATAAATTAACATTATACTTATTATTTTTATCTAAATTTTAAAGTATTTTAGGAATACTACAAGAAAAAATTCAGGATTTTACTACTCTATACTTTTAAAAAAGAAAGATGTAAAAGCCTTTTCTACATTGTTGCTAAGTCTGGATCCTGCTGAAATGACCCAGATATTTGTAGTTACTGGTGCTACGTCACTTCAGTTGTGTCTGACTCTTTGCAACCCCATGGACTGTAGCTCGCCATGCTTCTCTCTCTGTGGGATTTTCCAGGCAAGAATGCTGGAGTGGGTTGCCATTTCCTTCTCCAGGGGATCTTCTCGACTCAAGGATCAAACCTGCATCACTTTTGTCTCCTGCATTGGCAGACGGATTCTTTACTACTAGCACAACCTGGGTAGCCCTTCAGATGGCAAATACTGAAAATATCAGATAGGCAGTGTCTGTTTCAAAATATCGGATGAATTGGCAAGTTTCTTTCTTATACCGTTTAAAGTCTTCTTTCAACTAAATTATGTCCTTCCAAGTGACATATGAATAAGAAATATAATTATAGAATTCTATGATAAACAGGGGAAAAGAAACAAGATTGAGACAGGAAGAAAAAGTGGACCTTTTCTTGAAATATCTATAACAAAATAGAAAATCAAGTGGAAAATAGAGAAAATTTGTTACAAGTGAGAAATATGAAAGATAAAATTTTCATGTGATTAGCAGTTAAGCCATTCAAAGGATGAAAAGAAAGCCAGAGTTAATGACAGATACAAAGGAATAGAGTAAAAGGACCGTTTTATGAGGATAAGTAGGATTATGTGTATAACATAGAGAAGTCAATTCTAGCTAAGAATTTCTTGAAGGAACCTCTTTAGTTTGCTTCTCATGAAGCAGATGGGTGGGAACTCACCTGCCTTTATATGGGGGTGCTTAGCCAAAACTCGCTTTTCAGGAAGAGCACTCAGCCTTGGGAACATCAACAGTATTTTCAGGTTAATAGGGTATAAATATGAGATTTGAGGAGAATGCATTTGTATTAGGAGTTACTTGAAAAATTATGTAGGCAGCTAACAGTTTCAAAAATTGAAAGGGAATGTTTATATCCAAGGTTATATTGGAACTCTCAACAGATATCTTGGTTTACTAAAAATTTGGAACTAGGTTTTCGTAGATGTATCTTTTGTCTATGTTTCTATATTGAAGTATGGGAACCACTAGGATGTGCAGATTTAGATGATGGAAGTTTTAATTTTTAACTTTCAATATATTTTTTGAAGTGAAACTATGATTTCTTAAGTATCATTGTTGCATTCTTTAAAAGTCTATTTTAATATGAAAAGTGTTAGAATAATAATAATATATACAGTAGTATAGGCATATTACAAAAATGAACGTACAGAAAGTGTGTTTAGGAAATATTCATATTGTTTTATTCTAGATAGTTCACATGTCACTAGATGTATTTTTTAGAACCTTACAACAGAAAATATCTCAATAAAATGCTCTTATTTTTTTAACTTTGCAAATTAGTGTAAAGTTTTCCATCCTGCCAATATAGTTTGGCTGTTTTATTTTTAAGCCTGTCTAAACTGTTTTGCATCTCTAGTAACAACCAGAAAGTTACAGGTTCATGATTTGCAAATTGATGAGACTTAAGTTTTTACACTGTGAGTATACTAAGGAAGTGGACTAGGGTTTAATTTTCTCATATTTTGAGATTTTTGCCCATAGAGGTTTTTTTTTTAATTCTTATTAAATGAATTTTAATACAATCAGTTACAACCTTGAGCAAAACAAATCCCCAGATTTTCCAGTAATGATATTTTATATTAAATAGTTAAGCATAATATTCTTAACAGTTTTTTTTCCTCTTTCCTCTTTTTTAAGTTATCATAAATAAAACTGACTTTTGGAGAATGCCCACAGTCCTGTAAATTTCCATACATGTATAAGTTTGTGTAACCATCACTTCAGTCAAGGTATAAAATAATTCTATTACCCCAGAAAACTCTCTTTGAATTTCTAAGTGTTCTGAACGATATAACCTGTCTTTATAGTAGGAATACATTGTCCTAAACTTGCAGCAAAAAAAAAAAAAAAAAAAAAGCTATTTTGCTGTACTGTTCAATAAATCTGTGTTCCACTCTCCTTTCTAATGAATTTAAGTTCTAATTGCTAATTGTACACTTGGTTGATTTATGCTTCTCATCAGGGATAGCATTCATTTTTCCTTTCTACCAAATATCATCAACTAATCCAGTCCTAAGCTCTAACCTCTGGAGATTTCCTAGATGATGGTATCAGTAGATCTGTCTTTGTTCACATTACATCTGTTGATAAGTTATGCTTTGTTCATCATCCGCATTGTTTTTTGAGCTGCCAGTTGTCTGACGTTAATGCTGGATTATTATCTAGAGTACACAGGAGAATCACTGCTGCATTTCTTTTTATAGGCTCTGCAGATAGTGTTCTTTATTTTTCCAAGTATCTTCATGGCTTTGTGCCATGCTTTTTCTACACTACCATTGTATATTTCTCTGTCTATGTATGGTACATGCAAACCAAAGAGAGGAAAGTCACAGGCTATAAGTCAAAACCTTACTTGAATATTTAAACAAGGGTTGCATATTAACCATTCTGTTATGGACATTTGAGTAGCATGCATTTCCAGTAAAATGAATATCTAGAGTCCATAAACAATAATAAATTATTTCAAAATAAAGATCAACATTTGTCTAACTGTACTATAAGTCTATCATTTATGACTTTGCCACAGATAGAAAATTAAGAAATTTAACCATATCTGTAACAGTCATCACTGAGGTCATTTCAGACCATCTTAAGTATTATTACCTCACACAGAGAAAACATTGACAAGTTAATTTTAACCCTGATATTTGGATCTTGAGTTTTCTTGTTCTATGAATCTTTTAAGGTTTTTCAAGGTTTCTTAACATAAATATAAGGTATCTTGAAATGTTGTGATTCTCCTGTGATTGTTTTGTGTGTGTTTTGATTTGAAAATTTTTTGTTTGTTTATTTTTAATTCTTGGAAATAAGTGTATTACTAATGAATGAGATTGTTTATGATCCTTGTTTGGGAACTAAGAGTTGAAAACCTTATGGAATAATATAGCTACTTTTACTTGTACACACTATTGTCTGTCCTTTGAAGCTATACAGTGACTGTTTTGTCATTTGCTCCTCAGATGGATCCTGTGCAAAAAGCAGTCATTAACCACACATTTGGAGTGTCCATTCCCCCAAAGAAGAAACAAGTTATTTCTTGTAATGTCTGTCAGCTTCGCTTTAACTCGGATGTGAGTATCACCTTTTCACTGCTCTCTGTAGTCTGTCAGCTTGGAGTCTGATTGTTCTGAACATGGACATCTCTTCATATTATGTATTCTCTAGAAGCACATTTATTGTGGGCAATTGGTGGCCCGTTTATTTCAGTGTGCTAGATTTTAAAGGGAGTCAGATTCAACGTTAGAAACTTGAACCACAGAGTGGCTAGTATCAAAAATCAAGGCTTTCTCTATGTAATCAGTCTCATCTGTTTCATTGTATACTTAATTCTACCAGTTATATTTACTTTTCAGAAATACATTTGGATAGCAGAAAATATTTTTTAAAAGTTTAAAATGCAATGAAAATATGAAAAAAATGCAATGAATGTTGAAGAAAACCATTCTTATTATTCTTGAGATAGCAAGTACCACATTTAACTGTGTGTGCCAAATCATATTAAATACCTGAAAGAATAATTTATTGCACAGTTTATATTTTCCTGGAAGATAGAAATACAGGGAAGACTTTGTAAATTATCTTATCTCATAAGCATAACCATCATGTTTAAAAAAATGATAATAAGAAAAGGATACAAATTAATATTTTTTGAAAGTCAATTTTAGAATGTAGAAATAAAATAGCAATATCACAATAAATAATATTAGAATGTTTATAATATTCAATTATCAAGTAAAGCCAATGACAAATGCAAATCTGAATCTGGCAACTGTATATTATATGTGGTATTTCCCAAGATATTTTACCATCAAAGTCATTTTGCAAAGAGTATGTTATAAGATTCATGAGTTTCAGAAATGCTAAAATAGTAAATACCTTTCTTTGCATATACCAGTAGATGATATTTTCATAATTCTATTTAGGAAACATAATGAAAATTATAGTCATTGGAAAAGAGGAGATATGCTTACCATGACTTATAAAAGTATATTTAATGCAATTTCAACCAAAAATCCAAAGAATTTTTTTGGCACCTGCTAAAATCTTTCTCAAATTCCATATTCAAGAATTAAAATGTTCCCAAATAAATTGAGAGATATATAGTACCAATTCACTAGAAATCTTGGTATTGTTAAGATGTCATTTCTTCCCCAACTGATCCATACACCTAACACAACTTCAATAAAAATCTTAGAAGGCTTTTTTTATAGAAGATACCAAGACATTTCTTAAATGTAATAGAAAAGCCCTATGATAGTCAAAATGTTTTTTAGGAAAGAACAAAGTTTGAGTACTTATACTTTTTGATTTTAATACTTACTATAAAATCTATAGTAATCAAGACCATGTTATTGGTGAAAGAGTAGGAGACACATTGATCAATAGAACAAAATAGACCTACACGTGTAGTCAGTTCATCTTCAACAAGGTTGCAGAGCTAATTCAATGGAGAAAGGTCAGTCTTCGCTACAAATAGTACAATTGGATATCTGCATGTAAATTTTTTAAAAAGAATCTTGAGTGCTATTTCCCACAAAATATGAAAATTAATTCAAATAGATCTTAGCATAACTATAAACTTAAAACTATAAAACTTCTAGAAAATAACATAAGAGAAAATTTATGCGACCTTGAGTTAGACAAAGATTTCTTTGTCTAAAAAAATATGAAATAGAAAATGTGAATTATAAAAAATGCTCATTATTGGACTTCATCAAAATTAAAAATGTCTCCTCTTCAAATAACACTATTAAACTGTTAAGAAATTGAAAAGAAAAACTACAGACTGAGACAATATTTGTAAGACACATGCCTTGTATGCAGAATATTTAAATAACTTTATGATTCAATAATAAATAATAAATGGGCAAAAGATTTACATAGGCACTTTACCATGACAGATAAATATGCAAAACAATTCTCAACATCATTAGCTATTAAGGAAGCAAACCACAATCAGATACCACTATACCTATTAAAATGATAAAAATTAAACCAATTGATATTACCAAATGCAAAAATGAGGACCAACTGGAACTCTCATTAACTGTTGTTGGAAATAAAAGATAGTGCAGATCCTTTGGAAAATAGTTTGATGGCTATTTATAAGAATTTTTATAAAGTGGTAGATACATTTCTCATACAGCCCATCAATCCCACTTCAAGGTATTTATCCAAGAGAAATTAAAACTTCTGCCATATTTATATATCTTTATAGGAGCTTTATTCATAATTGCCCAAAACTGAAATTGATCCTAATGTCTATCAACTGATGATGAAATAAACTGAAATATAGCCCTGCAATGGACTCAGCAGTAAAAGAAGTGATATACCAATGCCTCCCACATCATGGGTGAATTTCAAAGGCAGTGTGCTAAATAAAATAAGTTGCACACAAAAACTATACACTGTATGCTTACACTTATATAACTTTTGCAAAAGACAAAACTGTAGGGACAAAAATCAGACACATAATTAATAGGGACTGAAGTTGACGTTGAGAAATTCATTACCAAGGGGCATGAGAGAACTTTTTTGGATGATGGAAATACTCCTAAGTCTTCATTGCTGTGGTAGTTACACAACTGTTTTGTTTTGTTTTTCTCTTCAAAACTCATAGAACTCAATACCTAAAAAGACTTTTACTGTATGTAAAGTATACCTCAGTAAACCTGACTAGGAGAACAAAATCAATCATGAAATATTTTTTAAAGTGAAGACTAATTATAGAAACATGCCTACTAGATATATTAAACTACAGTATTGCTACTAGATTTAGGTATAATAATTAAAGGAACTTTTTAAAGAAAAAGCAGAATAATAAATACTGAAAATAGATCCAAGTATATTTAACATTTTTGCCCAATTATTATCCAAATTTATGTAGCCATGTAGGAAAATTAGCATCTTTGTAACTTTATGAATATAAAATGAATATGTTCACTACTGGCCACTGACAAAATGAATGCCCAGGTGAAGACATGCTCCATATTTAATTCTAGCATTCCCATTGCAGTGATGCCAGATGTTGAAGCATCTCATAATACAAAGCAAAGAGATTGTAAAGTAAAATTGCAAAAAGCTTGCAAAAGATGCAGACTTTCATGAAGTCATGATTGTCATGTTGGAGAACTGTTTAATACGAAGTCACTGACAAATGAGGATCTGCCCGTTAGAAGTATTAATTTAACAAGAGAAAAATTAAAAGGTTGATGATAGACAGGCTGCTCAAAGTAAAATGTTTTAACTATCAAGTGAATAATAAGGACTTTTGCAATTATGAAGCCCTTGAATTAGGAAAAAAAGAAAACATTTATTTACACGGACCAAAAAGAAAATTAATTTTAAAAGAATCATTGAAGAATATTTTTCCATCCTATTCCCATCCTCCTAATCTCCATGCCTTTCTCTCTCTGCCTATCATAACTTCATTAATATTTCTTGCCTATCTTTCCTGGGTTTGTTTATACAGATATAACCAAGTATGAATGTATACTCAATCTCCTTCCTCTTCTACATACAAGGTAGTATACTATTTGTGCTTTACTGGTACCTTGCATTTTTTTTTACATAGCAATATAGCCTAGAGAATTTTCCCTATCAGAACCTAGCAAGCCCCCTCACTATTTTTTCATAGGTGTGATAGGCAAAGATGTCCACATCCTAGTCTCTGGATTCTTCTACTATATTACCTTGTAAGGCAAAAGGAAATTAAGGTAGTAAATGGAATTAAGAGCACTAATCAGCTGACCTGAAGATAACTGTCCTGGATTATCCCACAGGCCCAAAGGCCCTTAAAGGTAGAAGACGGAGGCAAAAGAGAAGGTTAGAGTGACATGATATAAGAACAAATTGAGTGACCATGGTTTGTTTGAAGGTGAAAAAAGGGACCACATGCCAAGGAGTGTAGAAAGTTTCTAGAAGTGAAAAGTCAAGGAAATTGACTTAGAGCCTCCAAAAGAGAATGCAGTCCTGCTGACACCTTGGTTTTAGCCCAAAGAAACCTATGTTGGACTTCCAACCTCAAGAACTGTAAGATAATAAATATGTGTTGTTTAAGCCACTGAGTTTGTGGTAATTTGCTACAACAGCAGTAGAATACTGATATAGTAGTCTATGTGTAGAAGTTCCATGGTTTCTTTAACCAGTCCCTTATTGGTGGACACTTAGGTTTTTCTTATCTTTGGAGTTAACATAGATTTTTCATAACCAATAAATGACAGATCTTCAAAAGAGACATGGGTTTGATCCCTGGGTCAGGAAGACACCCTGAAGAAGAAAATGGCAGCACACTCCAGTTTTCTTGCCTGGAGAGTCACATGGACAGAGGAGCCTGGCAGACTACAGTCCATGGGGACACAAAGAGCTGGACATGACTGAAGTGATTTAGCACAGCATGCTAGTACATAAATTTGGGTCTCTTGCCTATAAATCCACATCTCTCCCATTATCTTATGTTGCCTTAAAAATTAACTCATTGTCTTAGCACTTACTGTGCTCCTATTTTATTTTATGCCAAGCACTATATATACTAGGGGCTTCCCTGGTAGCTCACCTGATAAAGAATCCAGCTGTGATTCAGGAGACCCCAGTTTGATTCCGGGTTGGGAAGACCCCCTGGAGAAGGGATGGGCTGCCCACTCCAGTATTCTTGGGCTTCCCTGCTGGCTCAGATGGTAAAGAATTGCCTGCAATGTGGGAGACCTGGGTTCAATCCCTGGGTTGGGAAGAATCCCTGGAGGAGGACACGACTACGCACTCCAGTATTCCTACCTGGAGAATGCCCGTGGACAGAGGAGCCTGGTGGGCTACAGTCCATGGGATCGCAAAGAGCCAGATGTGACTAAGCACAGCACAGCATACATACTAGACTCCAGAATCCAGCAGCAAGTTTTACTAGTAAACGGGGTGTGTGAAAGCTTTCAGGGATTAACCTTATTGGATCCTCTCAGAACATGTTCTCAGTTTTCAGCTCTATATGTTCATTATTCTATGCATAGAAATGCTGCACAGTGTAAAATATGGAATTAACAGTCCTTGAATGAGATTTAACCCTTAACTTTGAACTCTG